ATTGTTCAAATATTTTTAATAAATTTTCTTTGTATATTGATTCATTAATGATATTTTAGTCTTTTTATTATCATTCTTGATATTTGAATTATAGGAATCCTAATTTTCTTCAATCCTTATGGACTTGTTCGGCATAAATTAAGAGTTTATTAATTACTTTTTTTCTTTATTAATTTGTATAGAAAAATGATAATGTTATAATTATAATGCTACATAAAATTATAAATTTGATTATAAGTTTACAATCTTATGTGACTGTTAATAAAATATAATATGATATTAAATGAATGGATACATAGAATATCATAGGTGAACTCTTAAATTTAAAAAGTTAAGTAAATAATGTTACATCATATTATAAGTTTATAATACCATGTGACATTATAATTATAGTTTTTTTGATAGAAAAACACAAAACTACATTTCCAACATAAAAAATGCGTTAATAGTTAATAAAATTGAATTTAACTTTTATTTTTTCTATAATAATTGTTGAAAAAAAGATGTAATTAATTCTTTCTTGATTAGTGCTTTAAGAAATATAATATTAGAAAAACTCTATTATTGTTATTATTATTATTATTATACATATTCTTCAAGAGTAACTCTCCAAAGTGAATACATATAAACACACACAGATAGTGCACAACAGATCGTTCTCCTAAATTTTTTTTTTTGAAGACTTGTCTAAAAGTCTACCTTCTAATTAATATTTTCAAAAGTTAATTGTTGGATTCAAAGTTCTACTAATATAGATCATACATGTCAATTTTTATATTAATCTAATATTTATAACCATTTGATAAAAAAAAAACTCTATTTACTTATATATATATATATATATATTTAATAATATTAAATTTTTTACAATTAACAAAGTGGTTAAGCTTATTAGAACAATTTAAAAATTAGTATGTATGATTTATATGAATAGAATTTTCAATCCAAGGGGCAGTTTTTAAAAATATTAATTAAAAAATGAGTTTTTATACATGTCCTTCAAAAAAAATGTAAGAGAACGATTTGTAAAATACTTTTCTTTATATATATATATATACACAAATAGGGATCCATTTACACATTAAGTTTGATATATCACATTTACACAAAATCTCAATTATTATTTTTTTTTTATTTTTAGTGGTTGAGATTTATCATGACTTTTTAAATAAAAAAAAATTATATTTAATAAATATAAATAAATTTCAATTATTGAAAGTAAAGAGATGAATTGTTGAAATTTTATGTAAGTATGGTGTATGAAACTTATGTGTAAGTAAATTTTTAATATATATATATATATATATATATTGTCAAAGGTGATATTCATTAAAAAAGCGTCAATAAAGGTGGCTTATAGAGGGAGTATATTTTTTGAAGTTAATGGTTTACAAAAGAACAAGTGAAAATTTTTCCATTAAAGTGGTAGGTATGATGACCAATAGTTCATTGGCTAACCATGAAGTTTAGCTTAAATTAAACAACAAATCATGAGAACAAACATAAAATTAGTCAACAATAGTGACAAGGAAGAACGTAAATATAAAATCTCAAAGTTTAGAGTATTTTTATCTCATTATTACTATATGAGAATGGGTTATAATCAATGCCACAACTTGTTTGTTATACTTTAAAATCTTTCGGTTATAAACATGTGTGATATTAAATGTAATAGATGATAAACAAATTCTGTTAGTTATACCCTAACATAACCAACAAATTGTTTGTTGGTTATATATATTTAGTTTGACTTTGGGGTATTTTAGTAATCTAAAAGTTTGACTCACTTAAAATTGTAAAGTTCATTTCTAAGTCCTATCAAAATGGATAGAATTTGAAGTATAAACCAATTGTGCATATAATTTAAAGTTTTAGAACTAAATAAATAATTCTAAGATTAGATCCACCAATAAGTAAATCCTCTTGTAGGTCAACTTCAGGAATTTGGTCTTGGGCCAACACCATGTACAAAGCTAATATGAAAGATGCACCTTTAAGATCACTTAATGAGAGATTAATTTTAAGGTTTATAAAAACAGTCTCAGAAATTTCTTGATGATCCAAATAAAAAAAGAAAAAGAAGAAGAAGAAAAAAACTAAAATTTTATTTCATAATTTTTATTTTTTTAATCAAACCAAACAAAAAAAATGAAAATAATATTGTATAGTTTGGACAACCATTAGATGGGAGTGGTTTCCTTGATATTGGCGGCTCCAACCTCATCAATTAGGCCCCTATTTTACAGTTCAATGCAATTTGAATAGTAAAATAGAGCACTCAACATGTATTGTCACAAATGAATATTACAAATTTTCAATCAAACCAAATATATAGCAATCTAAAATTCATATTATATAATTAGGATTAGAAGTTTTTAATCAAACCAAACACTATATGTATATGGATTTAGAAATGAATTCTACATTAAACCATTACATAAACGGTGACTTAGTTTAATTGTAATGACAACTGACTATGTTGTTCTCTATGATTCATTAAATAGATCTTGCAAGTTTGTCGAAGCTTCCGAAGTTGAAGCGACTTTCTCTGGAGAACAATATGGTGAATGAAGACATTATCAGTATTTTAGGCAAACTCCCGTCCCTTACATCTCTCGACCTATCTGAGAACCAGTTAGAAGGACCACTTTCGAAGAGAGGTACGTCCACTTCGGTTCTTAACTCTTCGAGCTTTCGAATTTTGCAATATATTTTAATAGATTAATATAAAATTTCAAGACATGTTATTATGGTTCATAAAATTATATAAAACAAAGAAAAGGTTAATACATATTGTAATTTCATTTTGAGGTTAAAATAAAATACATTTTCATGTGAAAATTTTCTTGGTAATAAATTGGAAGAAACGAGAATTTTGATAATAAGTTGCAAGAAATGATAATGTTGTTTGTTGTTCCCCTTATACTTAAAAATATAAATTTAAAATGTAAAAAGACAACAATAATATTAATAAAATTTTGTGTATCTCTAATTTCCTAGTGGTACTATTATCTTTTTCAACCACGTACTTGTATGGTAAAGCACAGAACGAGCTGTGAAAAATATTTTTGGAAAGAAAATACTCTATTTAAGACTTGTATTCCATTAGTCCCAAATTAATTATGCCATTATTTTCGGTGATATTTTCATGTAGTAATAGTCCTTTGTTCAATTTTAATAGATATTTTAATTTAAAACGTTTAAGTTTAGCTTTTTTAGGATATGGGATATTATTTAATATAATTATTTCCATGTAATCCTTAATATACAAAGATTAGTGTTTATTAATTGGTTTAAAAAAAAAAAAGAAAAACACCCTAAAATTACATTATTTTAATAAAATATTATGAAAAAAATATCAAACATTCTTAATTTTATTTAAAAATAAGTTACTTTAATTTTTTAATAAAAATTTATTAAAATAACATAATTTCAAGATATATTTTTTTAATTTTTTAAAATTTCAATTGACAAACATTTTTCTCATATATATATATATATGTGCGCACACACTCTCACGTACATACATATATCAACTTTAATGAATTTTTTTAGTCAAATAGCAAAATTATTCAATGAAATTTATATATTAAGTAAAAAAAATTGATTGTACATATGCCATATAAAAGTATCGATTAAAGTTGCGTGCCAAAATTCAATAATACGGTTAATTTCATAATTTGGCCGGGAGGCAGTAAACAACGAGTTCCGAGGAAAAAAAAATAGTAAAGAAAAACAGTTCCGGTTCTTTTTTCTTGCCTTAAGAAAAACTTTTTGATTGGCAGCAGCGCCATAAGAAAATGCTCTATTTTTCATTTTTTCTATTTTAAATTTAGATTTTCTTATTATATGCTGGTAAAAATTAAAGATATATTAATTACACATTTTTCATTAATTATTACATAAGAAATAAAAATTGATTTTAATTATATCAATTGGCTAATTAGAATCCTGTACACTATATTTTTTTTTTTTTTGTATATTGTAGAATTAATTACTTGACAATATAAAGAGTTAAACCTCTAACTTGATCTCAAATCAAGAATTCTTAAATTAATAAATACTAATTCTGTCAAACTTTAGTTGGTGTGCACATGTCATTATTGTTGAAAATCAAAATAACTTTTATTTTTATTTTTTGTACAAATTAATACTTTATAAAATAATACAATTAATATACTATTAACTTATATATATTTAGAATATAAATTAGACAAATCTTTTTATTATATTATTAACTCTATCTGCAGAATTGGGCAATCTGAGCAAAGTAGAAGTGCTTATTTTGAGACATAATAAACTTAATGGGAGCCTGCCAATTCAAGGTAAATAATCTCTGTCGTCGTCTCATTTCCAAGGTTTAATTAGTTTTGATTTTTTGACCATCAAGGTTTAATTAGTTCATTCTTTGTTCATCTGTTTGGTAGATTTAAAGGCTTTCACAAACTTGAGGATATTAGATTTGAGCTGGAATTTTTTCAGCGATGGCATTCCTCAATCTATCAGGGCACTTAATTATCTAGAAGCATTATCTTTGTCTTATAACCAACTTAATGGCTCCTTACCAATTTCAGGTAAGCAATTGGACTTTTTTTTTTAATGAATAAAGCATCCATTAATTGTGTTTTGGCTTTTAATTTTCATTTTTATATGCTCATTAGTAACTAATATTAAATATGGTAAGACTTTTTAAATATCAAACAAATAAAAACAGAAACCAAAATAGCCACTACAGCTCACCACCGCATATTCAATAGAAAGAATAATGTTAAATAGAACGAATTTTTGAGAGCAAAACCTAGGATCAATGTCGTAGTACAAGTTATGTTATTTAAAATATTAAAAAGTAAATTTTTATTATTTAATGATTGGTTATTTTTGATTTTTTAAAACTTATAATATTATATGTATCAATTAATTTAATAATATGATATACACCATATCATTAGTCTTAAATTTCCCATCTCAAATTTTTATTCTCCCTATCATTGCTCCAGTAAAAAATAATACACAGCAGGTAATACAATAGTTAAAGGAAGCTAAAGCCCAAAAGTTGTTTTAAGTTATTAAGAGTTTATAATTTTAAATTAAATACCTCAAATTCAAACTATGAGATAGGTAGGGAAAAATTTTAAAAAAATACATAATTATTTTTTATTATATAATTTATCTTCTGTTATACGAATAAGAAAAAAAAAAAAAAAGAAAAAGGGCAAAAAGAAAGAAGGAAGCAAAGGGAAGCCAATGGACAAGAAGAAACGTAAACGGATCCAGATCCACGAAAAAAGACGGCCTATGGCTCCAGCCGAAGAAGAAAGATTAAACAATAGGAAAGATTAAACAATACGAGAGATTAGGAAAACAACTGGTTGGAGAAGTTAAAACAAAATTTTTTTTCCCTGAAATCAGCCAAAAAAAATCTTCATGCAACTTACAAATCTTCCCTCCTAACATTCAGGTTTGTGTAGATTGAAGAGGCTTCATGAATTGGATCTGAGCCATAATAGTTTTGATGGAACGCTTCCTCCATGCCTAGCCAATCTGACATCTCTTCAACTTTTAGATGTCTCTGCCAACCTTTTCAGCGGAAATCTTCCCTCAAATTTGATAGAAAGCCTCACGTCCCTCAAATACATTGATCTCAGTCATAACCATTTCCAAGGCTCATTCTCCTTCAGTTCAATTGCAAGTCACTCCAAGCTTGAGGTATTCATGCTCACAGGCTATAACAACAACCTGAATATTGCAACGCAAACTACTGGTGGGATCAATCCATTGTTTCAACTCACGGTGTTGGTACTTTCTGATTTGGGTCTAAACAGTATTCCCAAGTTTCTTTTTTACCAACAACAATTGAGAGCAATTGATCTCTCTCACAACAAGTTGAAGGGAAAGCTCCCTGTTTGGTTGTTGGAAAACAATTCCCAACTACGATTTCTAAATCTCAGGAATAACTCTATCACCGGCCAATTCCTTTCCCCTTCATATACAATGAGAAACGTTGTTTGGTTGGATCTCTCAGTCAATCAACTTCATGGTAAGCTGCCAGATGATTTTGGGGACAAACTTCTCAGCTTAGAGTATCTCAATTTATCTGGGAACTCTTTCAAAAAGAATCTTCCGTCTTCGCTTGGTAAGTTGAGAAATTTGGTTAAGTTGGATTTGGCATTCAATAGTTTCTCAGGTGAAGTGCCGAAGGAATTGCTTGTGGGGTGCACTTGGTTGGAACATTTGAGGTTATCTTACAACAGATTTAGTGGCCAAATATTTACATCTGAATTCAACTTAAGTAATTTGATTCAGCTGGAGTTGAACAACAATAAATTCATGGGAAGGCTATCTCATGTGAAGCTTGAGATATTAAGCATATTGGATGTTAGCAACAACGACATGTCAGGTCCAATTCCCAGCTGGATAAGTAGCGTGAATTTGATACTTGCCATGGGCAACAACTATTTCAATGGCCAAATTCCTTGTGAAGAGCTTTTGTCCGCACAATTTGTTGACCTTTCTAATAATCGCCTCTCTGGTCCTCTACCTTCTTGCTTTGATTTCTCCAAAATCGATCAGATTCATTTAGAAGGGAACAATTTCAGTGGTTTGTTACAAAACTTTCTTCCCAATTCTTCAAATTCTCTTTCTGTGTTGAATTTGAGAGATAATAGTTTATCCGGTGGCATTCCTTGGCTGATCAGTACATGTGTGAACCTGAGACATCTTTTGTTGGGAAAGAATCAGTTGAGTGGTTGGATCCCAAAAACATTGTGTCTACTGAAAAATATAAGCATAATGGATCTTTCCAGCAACACTTTCTCTGGTACGGTGCCTTCCTGTTTCCACAATTTAACCTTCGGGAGGGTGGTTCTGAATTACGGTGAAACTCTTGCACAAGATGGATTTCTTATTTCAAACGACTTCACTGATCAAGGTTGTCTTTATGGAGTTCTACTGAAGAAGAATCTGAATATCCACATAGATATAGGGGCTGCTGGACAGGCTGTTACTGATATTGTTACAAAAAACAGGGCAAGTTCTTACATTGGTAAACGTATAAATCTTATGTCTGCTCTTGACATGTCCTGTAATGATCTGATTGGGGAAATCCCTGAAGAGTACGGGATGTTATCTCAGATTCTTTCATTAAATTTATCCCATAACCGGTTGACAGGTCCTATTCCAATCACTTTCTCGAAGCTAGCCCAGATCGAGAGCATGGACCTTAGCTATAACAATTTGAGTGGAGAAATTCCTCTAGAATTAGACAGCCTGAACTTCTTGGAGGTCTTCAATGTTTCATACAACAACTTATCGGGTGAAATACCCACAACTAAAGCACAGTTTCTAACATTTGATAAGAGCAGCTACGAAGGAAATCCATTTCTCTGTGGACTGCCGTTGGCAAAAAACTGCACCACTGAAACCAACCTGCGGCAGGTGGAAGCGCCTTTTGGTGAAACTGAATCGAAATGGTATGAAGTTGATCCTTCTGCCTTCCTTACATGTTTTTTACCAGCATACCTAGTGTTTTTTTTGGGGGTCGTGACTGTCCTCTGCATCAACCCGTATTGGCTAAAATTAACACTTTCTTTCCTCGGATGCCGTTCGTTCAGGCTACCTAGATCTTTCTAGAGGTACACAATTTCGCTAATGGTCGGAACAGATCTTTGATTTGCGATATCCTGTTGTGGTACTGGTGGATGTTTTAAGGTCTTGTGTTAGAATAAAGGCGTGAACGACCAATGAATTGGGGTTGGGGGTAGCTTAACCCGATTCTATTCTTGTCTGACGAGATATACTAGTATTAAGATAATAATTAATATTATCCCTCTTGTTGCGAACCCTGTTTCTTTTTGGTTTATATTGCTCTGCACGCGTCATTTTAATAGAACAGAATGAAAAAAAAAATTAAAGTATTACTTTAATTTTAAATATAAGTTATTTTAATGTTTTTAATAAAAATTTAACGAATTGGAATTGTAATCCTGCATTAAGTATTGGATCAGTAGGTCTATAACTGTTTTTTATTATTTATTTATTTGTGTTTTTTTTCATTTTTGCGTTAGTAAGATTTGACATGAATGGGCAAAGTACTCTTTGTACTTCAAATTAATAAAATTAACTTTGCTTGATCAAAAAAATAAACAATAAAATTTTAATGAATTGATTTTTAAGGTATATATATAATAGAGATCTATTTATGTATAAGTCTTATACATTATATTTACACACAAAATCTCAATAATTTTTTTTTTCACTTTTAATAGTTGATATTTATTTATATTTATTAAAAGTAATTATTTTTTTCACTTAAAAATTCGCGATAAATCTCAACTATTGAAAGTAGAGAAATTAATGGTTGAGATTTTGTGTGTGTGTGGTGTATAAAACTTATATATAAGTGAATTTCTCCTCATCTATATATATATATATATATATTGGTACTAAATCCTTTGGTATCCAAGCTTGTCTTTTAATTCGTAAGACTCGAATTCAAAATTTTATTTAAAAAAAAAAAATCGAGCCCCTTCCACTAAGATTAATAAGCCGTTGCTATACATATATATGGTGCTTATATATATATATATATATATATATAAGTCCCAACTTTCTTCAAAAACTTAGAATCTCAACTCTAAAACACTACTTTTGAATGTATATTTTAATAAGCCAACAATTAGATTTAGTGTTCTTCTTATGTAGATCTTGCATTTCAATTTTTAAGTTAATCTAAAATTTGTAATTATTCAATAACAAAACTTATATTTTTTAACATATATTTAATGATATTAAATTTTATAAAATTAACTAACTAATTAGATATATTAATCAATATAAAAATTAATATGTATGATCTATATGAATAAAATACTAAATTTAATGGTTAATTTTCATAATTGGGGCCTCAAATTCCTTATAAAAATTAGAATTGATATACCTTATTCTCATCTATTTGACTTTGTTCATTGAGATGGTACATAACTGTATTTTGAAAACCAACCTGGAGGTTGAACTGTTTTGACTTTTGGTTTGATTGGTTTAATTGGTTTGACCAGTTCAATTGTTTAAACCATCAGTTCAATTGAATATGAATAAATATAATGTTATGCAATACTTTGACATACCACATGTAGTGGTTATTTTGGTTTGTTACCGTCCCTTCTCCCTTATTACGGAGGAGATACAGGTTCGAATCTTGTTGGTACAAAATGTAATTTTAATACTTTTAACTTTTAACATGAAATATATTAATGGATTTCTTCACATGTAAAATATTTGTTGGTGCTAAAATGTAATTTTAATGCTTTTAACTTCTAACTTGAAATATATTAATGGATTTCTT